TTATAAATAAGATGCTAGTTTCTTAATCTTGGCATAAGGAAAAATAGGAAGATAAAATCCTAATTTCAAGAGAGAGAGGTAATTTTGTTATTCTTATATACTTGTAATATTGTTCAAAGAGTAAGGAAAGAATAACAGTTTATAACCAATCCTTGTTGTTCCTTATTGTTTTACCTTGTTATCTTTGTTAACCCTAACCCTTGTGTGTTTCTAGATCATAAAGAAACCGTTTATATTTTGTTTCAAGACATCCGATTCACAACAGACTTTTATGAAACACCTTCTCAAAAAGAAGAATCTAATGAAGAAGATCACGTGTGCCTCAAAGCTTAAAAAAAAGATGGCACACAAGTAACTTCTTGGAGAATAGCAAAAATATTCTTTGTGAAGATCATGTGTACCTTATAATGTTAAGTTTGCTAAAGAAAATGAGAAATTAGAGAAAAGAATTATTGATCATAAGGATTATGCTAAATTTGTGGAGGATAGCAAAAAGATTCTTTGTGAAGAAATTTCTAGTATAAGAAGCGAATCTTTAAAATCAGATAAATGTGATCCTTGCAATTTGTTGAAAAATGAAGTAACCAAGTTGCATAAAACCTTATATAAGTTCACTAATGGGAAAGATAGGTTAAATTTAATTCTTTCTAAATAAAAAATATCATTTAATAAAAATGGCATAGGTTATAAACCTGATAGTTCTTATTATAAGAAGAAGTTTAATCTCCATCTCTTTAAATGGAAGTTTTGTAATAAGCTTGGTTATCTTGAGTTGTTTCTCTTTGCTAAATTAAGAGAGTCAAAAGGGAGTACCTCCAGAACTATTAAATTGTCTAACACACTAGGACAAAAAAAATTGGGTACCAAAGGTAAAAACTTAATTTATTTTGCAGGAAACACTTTACAACTTTGAAGGTGCTCATTGCAAATTTGATAAAGTTGTGCAAAACATGTATATATTATGAGTATACAAAAGAAGTTTATAGATTTGTGATGATCTTGTTGATGAACTTGTTAGCATCAAAGGTGATGCTCCGTCGTTGCTTGATATCATTAACCGTGATTCTTAATAATGTGTTTGTTAGCATTGATGGTGGTGCTCAACAGTTTTTTTCAACCTAACTCTTTGATACCATTGATGGCGGTGCTCAGTAGTCTTGATGGTCCTAATGTTTTTGGATTATAAGGATCATTTGTGATTGTAACACTCATAATATTTTCTAGCCAGCTCACGAATCAAGTGATTCGTAGAAAGGGATTTTTTATGATGGTTCGTCATTCCCTCAAGAAGGGGCTTTTTCTTAAGGCTTCTTGACATTTTGAGGTAAAAAGCTTGATTGACAGTTAAATAAAAAAAACTTTTAGAATATGTTTAGATGATGCATTTTAATGAGGAAAAACAATTTTTTAAAGGAAATTTAAAATAATTTGACCAAAATCTATTGTTTGAATAAAAAATATAGAGAGTTGTTAAAATGAAGTAAATTTATGAAATATTTTATTCAAGTTAAATTTAAGGAATTTCAAATGACACCAAAAAGTAAGGAATATGAAATTACTCCTTCACTCTATATCATGCAATTGCTAAATTGTTTATTATTAATTTTTCAATTTTTGCCAGATGGTCCTCATATTTTATAAAAATTTCAAATTCATCCCTAAAATTTTCTAAAATTGCAAATAAGTCCTTAATAATTTTTAAATTTTTACAAATTAGTCCTTTCAAATTTTCAAAATTTGAAGATTGGTCCCTATTTTTCATATTTTAAATTTGGCTCAAAAGTTTTAAGCATTATCAAAATGACCCCAAAAATATAAAAATGAATCATTTTAATACTCCATCCAAACAAAACAAAAAATTAAAAATTAATGGATTTCATTTGAATCATTTAAATTGCTTAGAATTTTAAATTCCTTAAAAATTCTCAATGACCTCATCCAAACACACTCTTAAGAAATTATCTAATCATTGGTCTTTTTATGCTCAATAATTTCAATTTTATCACTAACATATTTTGTTTGTCAGTTGTTTGAGCCTTTAAGCTAGATTGCAAAGCAAATTGAATAATCTAGACTAAAGGGGTGTTGTTATGAAGCTTGGGTTGCTAATCTAAGTCCAATTTCATGACAAGGCCCAAAAAGAGCAAAAGGAGTTGACTTCTAGCTGAATAATTTATTAAACCTAAGGCAAAATCGATTAGAGCATATTTTAATTTCCAAACCCAAAATTTTCTCCACATAAAAAGTTAGACCTAAAGTATAATCAATTATGTCATAGACAAGAGTGTGCCCTTGTTAATTAAATTAATCAAAATTAAATAAATGTCCAACCATTATAATAAACTATTTTAAGCAATAATCGATTATCCAATGCCTATCTAATGTGACCCTTTCCTAATTTCTTTTCATCCTTTCTTGCTATCTTTTTATTTATTTTTGTGCTTGTTTCCCTTTTTTGTGAGTTCTACTCTTAGATCCATATATCCCCGTGGCACCAAAACGAGTTAAAACCTCCGCCAGCTCCTCTGCTCCATCATACGTCTCCAACATTTTCTCAAACATGGAGTAATAAGTAAATTCTACAGAAAGTTTACCGACATTGAAATCTTGACTTCCTACTTTCTCGAGGTGAGTGTTTTCAGAAGCTATGAGTTTTCAGATTTCTTGAAGGAGCAAGACTGAAAAAATTTATCTATGATGCGCTTATAGAGATCTATCCCATCTTTGTCATAATGTTCTATTCCTAGCTCAAATTTACTAATGGATTCATAACTACTGAAGTCAATAAGTATCTGACATCCCAGCCTCTTGAAGAGTTTGCCGAAATTTGCAATCTTCCTTTTTCTGGTTCTCACTACTAGGAAATTAATCAGAGTGATGATTTTAACACTTCTGCCTTGTTCTCCTTCATGTAAGAACCACATTATGGCACTCCCTCACCTTTCTGTATGGAAAGTGTGCGACCACACATTTAGCTAATTTACTATGTAGTAAACCACACCCCCGTCCATTAAAAAATCAGGGCCAGTTGTCAAAGGTTAGTGTGCTTATGACATATTCATTTTCTAACAAAGTTAAAACAAACTTGGCCAACATTGTGATCCATCATACGATGGTGAGCAAAAGAAAGGGTTCGACATGGGTACCATATGGTCACTTAGTTTCGAAAGTATTTGAGCATGTTAGATTCAACGTTGAGGATGAAGAATTCATAGATAACTCTTTAGAAATATGAAATGCGACAATTGGACTAGTGAGAATTAAGAACAATAACGGGATCCCATCCAAAAAGGCTCCCATATTTAGAAGATCATCTTATAGGCATTGACAGTGAACTCATGATCAATAAGGACCCTCAAATCTAAAGGATTTAGATCATGAGTCTCTATCATCCAAAGCTCTCCTCAAAGGCATAGTGAAAGAGCAAAAATGACCAATTAGAAGATCAGCTACTTGGCTCGAAATCTTGTTCAGACTCACTTGCCTTCAAGCTTGTTCACTAAGAAGGAAGATGAGGACTTGGAGTAGCTCTTACTTTTTTGCCTACTTGTTATCAGTTGTTATTCGTTTTCTTTTTCCTTGTTGGTTCGATTCCATTTTGATTAATGAAGTATGTTTTTTCATTTTAAATTATTTGGAATGCTTTGGTGTTTTATGTGCTTAAATACTTGTTATATCTGCTTATTTATTTCCCCCCATCTTTTTGATAATGCTAAAGGGGGAGAAGTATACTCTCACGAAGAGTAGGGTATAGTCTCTATATTCTCTTTGCTCCCTCTAGGTCGACATTAATGGTGGTTGATTCTCCTTTCAAGTTGTGATATTTGAGCTTGAGGTGCAATGACGAGGAAATAACGTCCAACGTAGCTACAAAGGGTCGTCACAAGATGCAATTGTAAACACTCCTGCAAGGAACAATGAGAAATTGAGAATTTAGCGCTCATATATCATTTTTGTTGCCTATAGAAACCATCAGCTTCACGTATCCCCATGGACGAATAATGGTTCGATTGAATTCCTAGAAATTAGAGCCTTTATATGGCAACAAACCGCCTTGGTCCAATCTCATCTCCTCAAATAACTTAGAGTACTTGATGTCGCAGGAGCTGTAGCCGTCAATAAGGATCTGGGACATATCGATTTTCCCAACCATGCCAATGATTACTAGGGAAAAAATCTCATTAGGAATTCCTCCAATCTCTTTTGAGTCCCGAAATTCCAACATAGGTCAGTTATGGATTTTTGTTGAAGTTCTTCCTTCCTTGCGGTAAACAACCATCATTTCTACAATCTTCCTCTTCATAGTGCCTTTGAAGGGGGAAGTTCTCCTATGACGCTCCTTTGTTTTGGCGGCGATGTAAGGGTGTTTACCCTTGCTTTCCTATTTGTTGTCTCCACTTGTTCCGACTTTCACGATCTTTTAGGGAGACTTACATTTATGTGACTCTTCTCTATCAACTTGCCTCTTGATAAATTCAAATAAACAACCGTTTTTGATAAATTCTTACATCTTTTTAAATTATTTAAATCTACATTCTCAAATCAAATTTACTCGTACGAAAGCATAAATATTAATTACTTTTTAAAAACTTTTTTTTATTGTTATTCTTACTTATTGGCTAAAAGTAATGTACCATCTTTTTTTAATAATAATTACACAATTAACGAAAACGAAAACTAAACTAGATTAAGCATTAATTAATAAAGGCTTTTAATTAGTTTTTGGTACTTTCCCACATGCAAGGAAGGAAACTGTGTCGCGCGTGACCAATTCCCTCAAACACAAAATCCTCTCTTTATTCATTTCCCTTTCATCTCCTCCCCATTCGCATTCCCTTTCGCCCCAACAACGCATTCTAATCTCTCCCCCTTTGTCTTTCATTTTTTGCATGTTCTCGGAGCTCCGGCTCCATTAACGGAGCCCCGGCTCAAATACCAACACTCGTTAACAACAAAATATCATCTAATATCTGTTCTCTTCGTTTCATCGAGATCTCAAAATGTCGAAACCCTGGGGCAACATCGGAGCATGGGCCGCCGATTCCGAGCGCGCCGAGGCCGAGGAACGCGAAGCCGCTGCCGAGGCAGCCACTGCCGGGTCGGCTAACTTCCCGAGTCTCAGGGAAGCCGTGACTGCTAAGCCGAAGAAGAATAAGAAGATGTCGCTTTCTGAGTTCACCGGAGGCGGTTATGCCTCTGGTGGTAGTGCCGCTGCTTATCCTCGTTTGACACCGGACGAGATGCTTCGTCTGCCTACTGGTCCCAAGGAACGTTCTGCTGAGGAAATGCAGTTTAACCGTCTCGGTGGTGGTTTCTCCTCTTTTGACCGTTCGGGTCGGGGTCGAGATCGTGATGGAGGCTCAGGAGATGCTTCGTGGGGTGCTGGAAGAAGATCCTATGGTGGATTTGATGATGAACGCCGGGCACCAAATTCTAGGGTTTCGGAATTGGATCAACATTCGAGGGCTGACGAGGTGGATAATTGGGCTTCCGTGAAAAAACCACTTCCCTCGTTTGATTCAGGCCGGCAAAATCGATACAGTGGCGGTGGTGGTGGTGGTGGTAGTGGTGGTGGTGGTTTTGGTGGTGAATCTAAGGCTGATGAAGTGGACAATTGGGCGGTAGGTAAAAAAGCTCTTCCCGTTAGGTCTTCTGATTATCGTGATTCTGGCATGAATCCAGATCGCTGGTCCAGGGGTTCTGCTGTGGAACCAGATCGCTGGTCCAGGGGTTCTGCTGTGGAACCAGATCGCTGGTCCAGGGGAGCACCACGTGATATGGAGCAACAGCGGCCACGGTTGGTGTTGGATCCAAGGAAAGGTGATGGTTCTGTGAATGAAGCTCCGGCAAAGACAAATAAGCCAAATCCATTTGGGGCGGCAAGGCCTAGGGAGGAAGTGTTAGCTGAGAAAGGATATGATTGGAAGAAGCTTGATTCTGAGATTGAGGCAAAAAAGACAAGTAGGCCAACAAGTTCACATTCTAGCAGGCCTTCAAGTGCTCAGTCAAACCGCTCTGATGGTCCAGATGCAGCGCTGAAGCCAAGGCCAAAAGTTAATCCCTTTGGAGATGCCAAACCCAGGGAGGTTTTGCTTAGCGAGCGTGGCAAGGATTGGCGGAAGATTGATCTTGAATTGGAGCATCGCGCAGTTGATAGGTTTCTTCTGATCTTATATTTTTTTTTCTCCTTTTTCTTTGTGCTGTTATTTGAATCAGAACTGTGTAAGTTCCTTTTGTGGCAAATTGTTGCAGTGTGTTCTATTAATTAGAGTCATGATAGCATTAATAGTGTAGGCGTGTCAGATGGGTAATACGAATCAGATTGTAGTTGGTTTGCTTATATGGTAAGTTTATAATGGGAATAAGAGACGGGCTTGCGATTATCATTATTTGTGCTGGTTTCAGAAAAAAGGAAGCTTTTTGTGTAATTGAGTGCTATAAGTAAGAGGTTTCCACCTTTTTTGCCATTAAACACTAGTAAACTTGCATCTCTTTTTGCAACTCTCATATTATGTTATATATATTGGATATGGAAGTCAGGTGCCTTTTTCATTTATTTTGGTGATAGGTTGATTGGGTACGTTAACCAATTGGTCTTTTTCATTTCTTTAGCATCTGAGAAATTTCGACTCTGATGTTAAAGGTGGTGGAAGAAAGTAATGGCTCATTATGAACAAAATTGATCATATTAGGATACTTTAGTTAAAGATAGGGAGAAAATCAAGTATACAGACATATTTGGGTTGACTAAGCAAGAGAGTGAAAGCAAGGGTTAACGATGCAGCTTAGGGTATTTTAAAATATATTTATTGATTTGCTTTAAGGTAATATCATGGCATTCATGATGGAGCTGAAGTCATGTTAGTATGTTATGTGGTGGGAGTCCTAGATTACTTATTTGTTGTCAAATTCTATTCTAAATTTAAAAGGGTTTCTGTGCATAAAGTGATACTACGTACAATTTTCATCGGAACAAATATATCTGTTCAATTTAAATTTCTTTCATCAACTGAATCATTAAACTAGTTGGTCAAAAGCATGTGTAATAGCACCATATTGCTCTAAACGAGTAGAACAGCTTGTTAAGGAAGACCATATTTTTATATGGAGTGGAATAGTTCGGCACATGATAGTTTAGGGCGATTTTTCATTTCAGAATTCTTACAGAATTTGGTAGATATAGGAATAAAGAGCTCGGGAGAGGAGACTTATGGGTATTCTTTTTGGTTGACAATTGGTTTTGAAGGGAGTGTTCTCAGTAAAACTTCTATTCCCTCTTCCTTTTTCTGACCTGGATTTATCTTTGTCCGGTACTATGGATGACCTCATCTATAAGATCTTATATATTATTTCCTTCTGTAATTTCTGGAACAGTATCTATCAAATTCCACAATCATCAGCTACATTGATTGTCCTTGGCTTTGCATTTTTATCTTATATCAGTCACTCAGTCAGGGATTCTTTGACAATGGATATAGTTGAAAGGGAAGACCTAATCGTTTTTATTTCCTGGAAGAATCTACATGACAAAAATTGGTGTTTATGATTCAGTTCCTTTCACTTTCTCTATTCAGTTTTCACCTTGTTTTTGGCTGTTTGGTTGTTAAGCTCCTGGCCTCAGTTTGTTTTGCTCTCGTGAGATGCTATTTGAGGCTTTGTGGTAGTTGGGGGATTTGATTTTGCTATTATATTCAGGTCCTAAGGGATTTGAGATTGGAGATTTTGATAGCTGGTGGTAAGGGGACTAATTCATTGCTTAGCAATCAGTTACTTGGCGGTGAGGGGACTCCAAAGGAGAAAATTCAAATGCTTCTAGCAGCTATCTAAATCAAACTGGATGTCTGTTTTGATATTTAGAGGAAGTACTAGTAGCCTATACTTTGGTTGAGGTGGGTTATTTGTAATCCATAGCGGATGTAGCAGCCAAATAGAGGCCAATTACTTTGTAGCCTATACTTTGGTTGAGGTGGGTTATTTGTAATCCATAGCGGGTGTAGCAGCCAAATAGAGGCCAATTACTTTGTAGTCTATAGTGATTGCTATGTTGGGGTGCGTAGCATAACGTTCTGTATGTGCTACATGAAACCTCCATTCCGTTGTGTTTTTGTTGGTCCCTCAGTTATTATTTTTTGGTCATATAACTATTACACTAATATGCTTCATATTGTGTTTGATATTGGTAATAATGAACATTGATTATTAGTTATGAATGTCTTTAATTTTCTTTTATTTTATTTTAAAGCTTTTATGTGTATGATGCAATGATATAAATTTCTAGTATATGTTTTCCTAAACATCAATGCAGGCATGTAACGGCCATACTGCCACCTGCTATAGCGTTGTGGCCTTGTGGGGGTAGGCTACACTCTGCTATCCACCATTGACTGCATAGATTTGTTAGATGTTTGTGGGGTTTTCTATTTGTAACTAGCTTAAGTCTGAAGGGAAACACTACATCATTAGGGTTTTAGTGTTAGTTGCCTTGGGCTTGTTATAACAGTACTTACATTTTACCTAGTTTTTAGTATAAAAAATAGGAGCACTAGATGATGGTTCAGTTTACTCATTTAATTTTAATATTTCATCAGCGATCAGTGTTTCTTTTAATTTTCCAGCGGATGGATTGCTAATAGTTTTATTCAAATGTTTTGAAAAAATAGTTTTATGCAAGGTTCTATATCATTTACCCCTGGTAGTTTGGCTTTGATCAAACTCGTGCTATATAAATGTAAACTTGTTTTTGTTTATGTTGTTCATTTTACTTGGTTGTGCACAACAATGCACCATAATTTGATTTAATCACTTATGTTTTACTTCCTTTTTAAGTTGTTGATCTTTCAAATATACACGTTACCTTGTTGACTTCTGAATTTAACATTTCAGGCTTGAGACCGTTGAGGAAAAACAATTAAAAGAAGAAATTGATAATTTGAAGAAGGAAATTGAGAAGGAGTCTTCAACAAGCTCAAATAAGGAAGTGGATGATGCTGTTGGAGACGAAACTGGTGCACGTGCACTGCTACTAGAGAAAGAAAAGGAGCTGGAACTACTAATCCGTGATTTGGATGATAGAGTTCGTTTTGGGCAGAAAGCTGTGGAAAGGCCAGGTTCGTCATCAGGAAAGACTGCTGGTTTTCCTGATCGGCCACCATCTCGTTCTGGCTCATTTGAGGATTCTAGAAGTGTGGATTTTTCGGACCGACCCCGCTCCCGTGGCACAGGAGATATGTTGACGCGTCCTACTGATGACAGAAGACAATTCCAAGGTAGCAAGGACAGGGGTTGGTTTTCAAACAGCAGTGACTTGAATAGGTGAGAATTCATTTTTACATTGTGTATTTTTCTTGACTTGTGATTTATGGTAAAACTCTCCCTATTTATTTAGGCTTTGATCTGTAAATGCATGTATTTGCTGTTTTGCAGGCCAAGGTCCAGAGAGAGATGGTGAACATCAGTTTTTTGTGGATTAAGAGTTATCTTCAACCTTTGATGACCAGAACCTAATTCTATTTTATTACTAGCATTTTCTAATCGTTTTGTTCAATTTACTCCTGGAATTGGAGCAACAAACATTGAGTACTGGCAGTAAAACTTTTGCCTACTATTATTGCATCTCGAAAACATTGTAAATTTAATTTTTCCTTTCTGGTAATTTTTTGGGTGTCTGGATGAAGGCAGAAAGCCTGTAATTTTATTAGGACAAAAATTTATTGGGACAAAAATTTATTGAAGATTATGGAACTTGGTAGTTAATGTTATATTGTTTTAATATTATAATATTGTCCATGTTTTGCATCTCTGCGCCAATCGTTCTTAAACATTTATAGTCTGGGCTCCCTTGAACATTGGTGTCATTCATTCCCGTATTTCGTGTCTTCTCCATCTCATCCTCTTAATAATCATTGCCTCCTTTTCTTCTACATGTTGCTGTGAGATTGGTCTCAGCCTGGAATAATATTTTGGCATGCCAAAAAATATGGTTGGAAGGGGACAATAGATATTTTATTTTTCGGACAAAATGTTTGGAAGGTTATTAAGGCAAGAGTCTTGTTAATGAAGGCATTAGTTAAGAGACATGCTTTCTTCATTTTCTCATGCATTGAGTACTGCACACTCTATTTTCAAGTTATTTCTTCTCTCATCTGTGGGTCAGTATGACATCTTCGACAAGTTTTATTTAACTGGACAAACTTCTCCTGATGCATCATCAATCTTTAACAAAACACGTGGTTGCTTCTCATAGAAAAAAGTTATTCAATGAAAACAACATTTTACCAAGACCAACTTTCCTCAGACGACATTTATGTAAATGCATGTCCGACATTTGTTTTTTCTGTCCTACATTTAAAAATAATTTAAAAAGTTAGCTAAAGATGACAAGCAGCTGAATCGAGTTTAGTTTATGCCTGAAGATGAAAAGCAGCTAAATTGAATTTAGTTAATGCTCAAATAATAGAATGAAGGTTAGTTGAATTAAAAACAAGACAAATCTTTATTACAGTATGTCTAAAGAATCTTCCAAAGGTTATGAGAGTTTCGTTATCACTCAAAGACATGTGAACTTTGATATTCAACTATGAGATTGGAGTTTCAATTTTTTTCTATGAACTGAAATGTCTACTTTTAGTGATGATTAAGATGTAGAATTGCATGCGTGGATAAGAAAACATAAATACCCACAAATAAGAAAGATCCGGGTCAAACGCGAGAGCAGAAGAAACACACACTGTCTGCAAAAAATGATTGAGTAAGGTGAGCCAGACTAAATTTTGTAGTCCACAAAATTGGTTTTGCACATAAATACTGTTTTGTATATTTCGTTTTCGATATACCATCAATTAAACCTATAACTATCTCAAAATTTATTATTTATCTTTCTACTTTAAGAATAGTAGCTCACATAAATAACTTAATTTTTGTAATTAACAATATTTAGAGGGTTAAAAACTCACACAAGGGGAAAATTTTCTTCTTTGATGTAATTGTTTGAAAAAAAAATGCAATCACAATTGAGACCTATTAACCAAATCATTTGCTAACTTCCAAGTTATAAATTAAATTTGGAACATCTAGCATGACATTATGATAGATAATATTAGAAGGTTTAGTTTTTACGATCATAGTTACTTTTGGAGTATGCACTTATTATGGAAAAAGTTTAATAGACTATATAGAAAAACCATCATCTTTGGCGTAAGATTAATTTAATGTTATGGTATTATTTATTTATTTATTTATTGTTGTTTTTTTGTTTTTAAAAATAGATGGATTATTTATTTAACCATGAAACTCAAACTAATGAAATTTTATATACAAATGAAACTTATATAAATGAATCTTCAATTATAAAGGTGTTGTTGAGATATTAGATATAATCTAAATTGAATTATGTGGCTCAAGTCTAAAGTTAATTAGGATTTAGAGTTTGTTATTTAGTTTGTTATTTTACTTAGGTGTACATAAATAGACACTTTATAATTTAGTTTTATTCATTCAATAATATCCATACTTATTTCTTTATTCTCTCTCTTTCTCTCCTCACTAAAAGTGTCTCACGACTAACAAATTAGTATCTAGAGTTCTGGTTAGATTCTTGATCGTATTTTCAAGAATCACACGTCAGAGATCATGTTTCTAGGATCGTGAGTTGTTGTTGATCAATCGCTGCAAAGATGAATGGTAACAAAAATTTACCAAACTCCCTTCCAACTCTTGACGACAAGAATTGACTTCGATGAAGAAAACAAGTGCAATCTCTATTTGGCTTTCATGAAACCCTAAAAGTGGTTACTAACGACGTTCCTGTGCTTAGCGAAGATGCAACCAAAGAGAATCGTTCACAAGGATGCCAAGAAGAAGGATTGCAAGACAACATTTTATATCCAATCGACGATTGATGCAACTAACTTTGACAGAATCGCTCATGCTGAATCGGCAAATGAGGCGTGAAATATTCTTGTCAAGTACTATGAAGGAGGCGAGAAAGTCAAGGTTGTCAAGTTGCAAACTTTGCGACGAAAATATGAATTATTGTCGATGGGAGAAGACGAAAAAGTTACAGGCTATGTGTCGAAGGTGCAGAAACTCGTCCATTTCATGAAGGGTTGTGGTGAAACTCTATATGGTAAGATGATAGTTGAGAAGGTAATACATATCTTAACCACTCACTTTGATCACATTATTGTAGCTATTCAAGAATCCAAAAATCTTGAAACCATAAAATAGGAAGATCTGGTTGGTTCGTTGGAGGCGCGTGAGATTAGGATTTTCGAAAGGAAAGGAGTTCAAGACTCAATACAAGCACTACAGGCTTAACCATGGAAGAAGAATGGTGGTTCCAACAAGTTCAAAGGCAAAATTGACAAGACACTGGGCAAGAAGTCTTGGTCGAACTCTCACAAGAATAAGATCGATGATAGAACTTATGAATCCTCAAAAAGTTGAAAAGAAAATTCCTATCAGAAAGACAAAGTAGAGAAAAAAGGCGTGACAGCGCTATAACTGTGAAAAGTGGGGTCACTTGGCCAAACATTGTTGGTACAAGAAAAACAAGGGATCGACAAAAGGCAATGACAAAGGAGAGAACCTTACACGTCAAGATTCAGATGATATGGTGCTTATGGTTGTAGTTGCAGATGACCGTGTCGAATCCAAGATCTGGTTCCTCGACTCAGGCTGTTCGAATCACATGACTGGTCGAAAAGTATGGTTAGTAGATTTTGATGAGTCGAAGAAGAGCAATGTCAAACTTGTTGATAATAGCTCGTTGTAAGCAGAAGGTACTGGAAACATAGCTATTCATAAGAGTAATGGAGCAAAAGCCTTAATCAAAGATATACTTTTTGTTTCCATAATGAAGTTCAATCTGCTATGTGTTGGACAACTAGTTGAAAAGGGGTTCTCAGTGGTTATGAAAGATGGAGTCTTAGAACGTTTCGACATACAAAATAACTTAATCTCGAAATATCCTTTGTCGAAGAATAGAACATCTAAGACCATGATCAGTTCGACTAAGGTACTATGTCTGAAAACAGTTGTCAACCACAAAAATAGTTGGTTGTGGCATTTGAGGTTTGGTCATCTAAACTTTAGGTCGCTCAATCAACTGATCACTCAAGATATGGTAACTAGTATACAAAGGGTTGGGATGTCTGGTAAACTTTGTGAAGGTTATCTAGTCGGAAAGCAGTCCAGGAAGTCTTTCGTTTCGACTATGCCAATAAGATCATACTACACACTCGAAGATGTACATTCAAATGTATGTGGTCCTTTTAAGAAGCATACCATTAGTGGAAACATATATTTTGTTTCGTTTATCGATGAGTTTAGTCGAAAGTTGTGGATCTATATGATCAAGAGAAAGGATGAAGTATTCGATATCTTTAAGAGATTCAAGATGCTTGTCAAAAACCAGAGTGTGAAGAAAATCAAAGTTCTGCGAACAGATGGATGTGGCGAATACACATCCAAGATATTTGAAGCATTATGTGCAGAACATGGTGTTGATAATGAAGCAACTGCTCCTTATACTCCTCAACATAATGGAATAGCATAAAGAAGAAACAAGACCATATTGGACATGGAGAGATGCATGCTGAAGCAAAAGAATTTGCCGAATTCCTTTGGGGTGAAGTTGTTTCAACTGCTGTTTATATTCTGAGCAGGTGCCCTACCAAGAAGCTGAAGAACAAAGTTTCTGAAGAAGTGTGAAGTGGAAAATGACCATCAGTGAGTCATTTGAAAGTGTTTGGTTCTATTTGCTACAAGCATATTCCTGATGCTAAGAGAAGGAAGCTCGATGATAAGAGTGAACCTATGATTCTGGTAAGATATCATAAGACTAGAGCATATTTTTAACTCACAAATTCGACGCTCATATAAAAATTAAATATTTGGATAAAATATTAAATTCTTGAAGAAGTGTGAAAGACTTCGAGTGAGGGAGGCCTTCGAATAGGCTGGTTGACTTGAGTGTTTGGGACTTAGAGAAAATTTCTGAATATTGGGGATATTACCTTCGACCGAGGTTGTTGGCTGAGTATTAGTGGAGTTTTTGAAATTCAAATAAAGGAGGGAGTAGTTATGCTTTCTAATGACTAAGCAAGATAAGTGGCACTCATCTAGCAAGTGACTACATGCAAGGAGACACATGTCGTAGGCTGGTTGTTTTAGGAGGTTGATGGCAGTTAATTTTACTATTATAAATAAGGGATCTAGCCATAGAATCTAGTGTGTTGTAATTTACTATTGTACAAGTTACTCCCAAAAGTACTCAAAGTATCCGAGTGTAGAGAAATGAGTTCGAGGAGAATGTATGTCATGTAAACACACCATCTTTACTTTCAATGAAACTTATTTTACTTGTTTTATCTTAAAGAGTTTATCCTTACTTTCTTGCAATTTACATCTTCCCTGCATTTTGCTTCATTTTGTTTAAATGTTTTAAAG